TATATATATATATATATATATATATATATATATATGGATTATCTTAATTTTCCATTGTCTCTCTGAAAGTGTTGAGAACTTTTGATGAACATATTTAGACTTTAAAATTTACGTTAACACACCCAGTCTGAATGTCTTTATCAATTTTAAATCCAAGTTCTTCATTAGATAATTAACATATTTCCTGGTCAAATATCATATTCTTTAGTTGCTAAAATCAGTTAAAAAGTTTATGTGAAATGAAATAGTAGAATCTAGGAATATGTGCTAAAATCTTTGCTCATATATCTACAGGAACTGCTTTGATTTGCTATATATTTACCTGAAACTATTAAGCAAAATCACTTAGCTGTAATTACAGATTTGTTGAACAAAGTGAGATAGTTATTTTGTAGCAAACATGCATAGGATCCAACTGTTAGTGTCCAGAAGTTTCAGAACTAGAGCTGATAGCAGGAAAACAGCATTTCTATGGGAGGAGATGAAAAATTGTTTAGGAGAGTTATAATTTGATAGTTACATTTTAAAGATGAACATTATAAAGTTCAGGTAAGAGGAAAATGTCACTCACATAAGTTCAGAGGCTCTAATAAAATGCTGTGGCATGTCCTAGACTATATATAGTATTGTGAAGACTTGCTAAATCTTGTGTCTGCTAGGAAGACCACCCTTAATAATATATTTTATGGCTTATTGTGCCTTTTTTTTTTTTTTTTGTCTGTAGAAATTAGATGTTCCCTCTCCCACTCACCCTTATTTCTTTCCTTTACAAGAAAAGTAGCTTTTAATAGATCTTTGTAGTTGGCTGAACTTAAAAGGTATTTAGACTTTAGTATGCTCCTTTGTATTTTAATTCCATTTTAAATGAAATAACTTTAAACAAGATACTGTATAATTGAAATGTTAAAATCATTTTTTTTAAATGCATTGATTTTATCCAGTTTGCAAACTTTCAGACTGCTCTTTCTCCATTAACTTTCTTCTTGCTCATTGCCATCAAGTTTTAAAATGTGGCTTCCACTTGATTATGCTCACATGTCCCTAATGGAAATACTTCAGTAGCTGCCACTTAATTACCAAATAACTGCTACGTGTATAGAAACACGCTTCACGTCTTCCAAATCAGAAGAATAGCAACAATATAATTTGCTCTGTTTTTTAAAAAATGCCCCAGAAATACCTCAAATGATAATCTGTTTAAGTCTTCTTGTGTCAATAGAATTCCTTGTTAGCATATTTTACACTAGAATGTAATTCAAGCCCTGTTACTTGTTGTAAATGTGAACTATGAGTAGGGCAATTTTAACATGTGTTTGTGTTTCTAGGTACGAGCACACCAGTTAGTTTTACCACCTTGTGATGTAGTGATCAAAGCTGTAGCTGACTATGTCCGCAATATTCAGGACACCTCTGATTTGGATGCCATAGCTAAAGATGTTTTTCAACATTCACAGGTAAAAGAAGAATAAAAGTTCATGAGTGTATAGTTCTTAAGAGTATGTTGTGGTACTTTGAATTGTAATAAATGAATATGGGTTTTGTTTTTATTTTTAGCTTACGCTCTATTGTTCTCTTTATAAGACTTGCTACAGGTGATTAGAATTTAAAATATTTCTTGCTTATTACTTGTTTATGAAAGACACCCTTGGATTGCTTGGTTGCCTTTGCACAGTTGCCTAAAGTTTATAACTATATATAGTAATGCTGGTAGGAACTGATGATAGTTCATTTATATATTTAATTTTAATAAAGATTTTAACATTCCTTTTAGTCTAGAACGGATGACAAAGTTAAACGATTTAAGAGAGCAGTTGCATATTATTCAGCAACTAATAAGCCTATGCCATTTCATCCACCACATTACCTAGGTAAGTTCTTATACTCATGTAAGATACTGAAGGATTTTGGTTAAATATGAGCTGTTTCTTCAACCTGGCAACTTGCAGATGTATTAGGATCTCAGTCTGTAGTACCCAGTCTGAAACTGGGAAAGACTATCTTATGACTTGAAAAATAATAGAGAAGGGAAGACAGTTGTACTACACTAATCCTGTCAAATAGTTGACTTTTACCAGTATTTTAAATATAGTGATAGTGTGAAATACAGTATATTAGTATTTGAAATGTGTGCATGAGATGGTGGTCATATTGGCTCTTTGGCCAGTGTAGCATCTGGACACAAAGGTAAACTTTGCTTTGAAAGAAGGCAAGAATTAATTTTATGCAGACTCAGAATGAAATCTTTTACTAATCAAGACAGAGAAGTTGTTGTTTCATATACCCATATGAAAATCTAAAGCTAGAGCTTTTACTATTAATTGCTAGCAGATATTGAGATACTTGTCTTCCTACTTCACAGTAGTCTGCTTATTTTGAGATAAATCACCTTGGCAAAGGATGCAATTTTGGCTTGTTGCATGGATTGTCTTCTGTATCTCTTAAACCGAAGACTAAAAGAGCAATCTGTTTATTCTCTTTAGAGTAAAACCTATTTTCCCAGCCTTCAGTAGGCTAATTAAAGACAGAAACATCAGTGACTATAAAAGTTGCTTGATCACAGTATGTAAAAGGAGGCTGTCTTCATGCACTTTATTCTTCTTCATTTTAAGTCTTGGTTTCTGACCACCAAAAGACAGTATGTTACTCATCTCAAAGAGTTATGAATTGTTTTCTGCCATAATAAACTTCCAAGATTCTATGTTTCCATTTCTGTTCCTAATTGTCAAAAACAGAATTAGAGGCAGTACCTGTCAACTGCACTTCCTTTTCTACTGAGAAAAAAAAAAAAAACAGTAGAGACTAAAATGGTGGGACTGGCTCTCTTATGTAAATAGAAAAGGGGAGTGTTTGGGAAAGAACACGAGATTGCCAGAAAACTTGGCAGTCAGCATGGAAAATCTCTGCTGAAAGAGGCCGAAAAGAAACAGAAATTGACAAAAGCTCTGAAATTTGAAGTAGACAAAAATAAATAAATATCTCAGGTCAGAGTTAAAAACATAAAACAAAAGCCTAATATCATGCCTTTGTTCTTATGCAGTTTTACTTTTCATATTAAATAGTCATCCAGACTTACTGTTGGGCCACACTCTGTGTGAGAATTTTTTTTTTTCCCCTAAAAACAGCTAGACCAAATCAATTGGGAATGCCGGGTATAGTGCCACCATATGTGTCTCCTCAGATGCTTAACATTCCACAGTCTGCCCTGCAAGCAAAGCAAGCGGCAAGTACATTTCCCCCCCTTTCTGCTAATCCTTCTGCTGTTGGAACCCATGATGCATGTATATGCATGTGGGCAGTTTGCACAACTTTAAGAAAATATGGCCTAATTTATACTTTCTTTTAGGCCCAGCCTATCTCTAGTCATGGTAACACCCAGGGTCAGGGCCCATATCCCTATAATCTGTCAGAACCAGCCATCACGTTGGACACAAGTGGAAAAAATCTTTCTGAGCAGAATTACAGCAACATTCCTCATGAAGGAAAACATACTCCATTATATGAACGATCCTCTCCAATAAATCCAGCTCAGAGTGGGAGCCCCAATCATGTTGATTCAACGTACTTTCCTGCCTCTTCTACATCATCTTCCTCAGACAATGATGAAGGCAATGGAGGTGCTGTGAAGTAAGTACAACAAAAGACCACAGGATTTGGTAAAACAACCTGCTGTTTGCCTCTTGAATTTGTTAAGATGGATCCAGATCTGGGCAGATAATTAAACTGGTGGAAGACTTCCCAGCTGCCTTATCAACAGTCCTTCAGCGTGAAAAATATTACATGGGAGAAAGGGGACCTTGGGTGAATGGTGTGAGCTGTAGAGAATTTAGTGAAGACAAGGGTGGGAATTCCTTATTTAGGGGAACCTTTGGTGTGGGCCCCTTGGCTTGGAAGAGACTGTTGAAAGGCATGGTGAGGTTGGTAAGATGAGATGAAGTAAGCAAGATCACTTTGTGTCCACCGATTTCTGTGGGATCCATCTGACCTATTGTCTCCACTCCTTTTGTTCTTTATATATTAATCCATGTTTATGGTAACAATTTTGCATATGGAGATGTATTGGTAATTACATTTATTTGGATCATGCTTGAGTTACAGTGCTGGATATTCTGCTCTTAACTGATTCAGGTGTCAAAAGCTTTAAACTTTTGATTAAAAGTTTGATTAAATATCAGCCTAAACCCTTCAGAAGATTGGAAGCAAATTTCAAAAGCAGTGATAACATGCCATAGTTTGCTCTGTACTAATCAAAATAAGTTTTAGCTATTACCGATAAATGTAACCAAATAACATTCATTAATTGTCACAGGTGCATGTGTTAGACATACTGTATATAGTTGCAGCAGATGGAAAAAAGGTTAATCTTTTCTAATGTTTTTCTGATTGATTATTTGGAAACAACACACACTTTCCATAAGCATTAGAAGTGACTATTTGCACCCATAATTTGGGTGCAAATGTGACTCCTAAAACTAACCTTGTATTTTATTTCTTTATAGATTTATAACCCATCCTCCTCCATATTCTCAGGGTACTTCATTTAAAATTAATACAATATAAATAAACCATGCAAATATACAAAAGCAGCCATTCTAAAAGGGCAGTGTAAAACAATAATTACATTAAAATCAGTTTTAAAATGTAAAAGATTTTGCCTGGCATTGTCATGACATCAGCTTGGGTGCAAAACAAGTCTAACTGAGGTCTGCATTCAAAATATCAGGCATGCTCTTTGAAAACACTGTTTCAGCTGCTGAAAGTAGAAAGAGAACCCCAGGGCTTTTCAGTATGCGACCACACATATTGAAGGAGAGGGAGAAAGGTGGAGAAAGAGAGAGACAGCCATCACAGCCCTTTCAAGGAGAAGATCATCACCTTGACTTGATCCTGAAATGGATTGGAGCCAGTACAGTACAAAAGAAATGTGTGTTTTGCCTTGATACTACTTTATAGTGTCTTGCATTATAACCCTGACAATTAAAATTGTGTATGTTTGTGTGTGTGTATGTGTGTTTTTTTCCCTCTGTTCAGTCATGTTGGCGGAAACAAATTGAGCTGGGAAAAAATAGGAACTCAGTCAGAAAATCAAGTATGCGGGGATCCAGGAGACCAAACAAAGGTAGTGTTTTGAGCACGATAGTTTTTGTTAATGAGACTTGTTAATGGGCTGCAGTATTAAATTTGTGTGTATGTTTTAATAATTATTTGGTTGATGCTAGAAGATATGGGGTCACCAGGAAGATGCACCCATCATCTTTTATGTGAGATGTGAATTGGGCTCCATCCATTGGTCAGTGTAGCAGTGTCTTCCCAGCTTGCTTCCCTCCTCTGTGCCAGAAAAAATAGTCTTCTCTGACTGCCATTTGACTTGGACTGCAGAGCAGAAGGAAAGTCGTCTCTAGCCTCTGCCAGTGCTTAGAAAACTGGGCAAGTTGTAACCTAAAGCTACTAGTGAAGTAATTTTATTAATGCCATAGTTTTATACATCCTGGTTTAGAACTCTGAACCTACTGAACTCTGTTGTGTTTACTTCTGAGCAAAAATATGAATTACCTTGCCCGAGGTAGAGAAGAATCTGATTGCATCCAAGTGATATGCTTTGCTTTGCATAATAATGAATGTAATTCTAGGTGAGGTGAAGAATTGACTTGAGATTCTGATACAGATTTATTCTTTACAGCACTAAACAAATAACTGCAGCAAGTTACCAGATTAAATTTTTTTCCTGCTGAGAATAATGCTCATTGTGGCATGGGCACAAGTGGAAAAACAAAACACAATAGGTCCATTCAGGAACAGTAATAAGCCAATTTTCTTTAGAATTTGGCTTATCTAAGAATACTAGTTTATGAGCTTGAGCCCTGTTAGGTATCCTAGCTCAATTTTTCCTGCTAGTGGACATGACTAACACAGATTTTTTAAATCAGTTTGTACTGATAAGAAAATCACAATGCCAAAGTCCCTTCCAAAAAACAGAAAGGAATGTTTAGTCTACTCTCCAAAAAGCTTTTGGGGACTTGGCCATGATTCATACATAGAAATACTTAGTATCGCATGCATCATCACCAGCCCAGGCAATTATACTGTCCTAAATTGGAGAGGAGGCACCCTGCTTTAGTTTCTCTTTTCTCTCACACCTCCTCCTTCCCCCTCAAATGCACATTGTAATCGTTAGAAATGATACCTTTAAATCTGATGTTGAAAAATGTGCAGTGGTTTCCAGTTAGTTTCTATGCGCAATGCAAAAACATGCACAAATGCACAAAAGTAAGCTCTGCCCTCACCTCACAGAACAGGTCTCCAAGACTTCTAGTATTTGGCTTCATCTCAAGATCTGCTCCATTGGCAGTGGAGCTGCTATCCCTACTTCTCTAATCCATTGGCTGGTTCAGCCAACAGAAAAACGGAGCTTTTGATCATTTCTTAAAAATTATAGTAAAGAATGCAGAATAAAAGCAATTAGCACTAATGACAATACAATGTTGATCAAAATATTAATTTTGATAAAATATTAAAATGTTAATAGTTTAGGAACTTTATTTCAGATGCCAAGTTTCAAGGCAAGCCATTTATAAAGGAATTCAAGCTGTGCTTGTTCATGAATATTACAGAATTATAGAAGAATGAAGTCATTATCAAGACACAGACTCTTCATTCTCAGCCTCACCTCTTCTATTCTGTAAAATTGAATTGGATTATTTGTTCAGTTCTCTAGTAAAAATAAGCTGTGACCCCTTTTTGCATCCATGTTAGTACTGTTTGCACGTATTTCCTTGTTTGTTGTCACTGCCAAAATTCAGCCAATAGGCCATCCGTACTTAATCTTGTAAAACTCTGTTCTTCAAATAGATGTAATATTTCTTTCATGACTACCAAAAAAGTGTTCACTCCAGTTATGTAAGATAGATTTACATACTTATATGTAATGGTTGGGTGATGCTTATTGTGTTGTGTATGTGACTGAATATACCTTGCTCTTGTACTTTTGTAATTGTCATTTTAAAAGTGTTTCCCTGTTTCAAAAATGACTTTATTGTACATTATAGGTGGAAGGTTCCTCTACTGTTTCTTCAGGGAATCAGGCAGCTGAAGTTAAAGGGAATCAAACCAGTAGTGCACAAATCCCATGTCTGTTGTCAATGCCCACCAGGAACCATATGGATATTACCACTCCTCCATTACCTCCTGTAGCGCCCGAAGTATTAAGAGTAGCAGAACACAGACACAAAAAAGGGTTAATGTACCCCTACATATTTCATATCCTAACCAAGGTAAGGTTTTCAGGCAAGGCAAGAATTCCAAATTGATTGCTGTTATCTCTTGTTTTTAGTGCGTGTATGGGAGAAACTTTGGATTTAGTAAAATGAACAATTTTTTTTTGGTTCACAATTATTCACTTTAATGCAGTACTGCTTAAAAGAACTTGGGCTTCCTTTGACAGTGTATTTTACAAGATCAGTCCTACTCCCAGCTCCATGCCAATCCTCTCTTGATGGATGAATTGATGGAGATTATTGTGCATAGCAAAATGCCTTTAAGCAGCGGCATCCAAAATTCTGAAAAATGAATGAATGTTAAAATGACTAAATAGGAGAGCTACTCATCTCTCCTACTCTCCTCTCTTGTCGAGCCATTGAGGCTGTCTTATTCTTCTCACAATTTGACCCAAGGATGTGAATTGGGCGGCTCTTGAGGTCTGCCCAAATGAGGGAAAGTAGTGGAGAAAGCTCCTCAAATTTCAGTGGGATCTGATGTCCATATTTGTAATATGAAAATCTTGAATGCTTTTCCAATAATTATTTGAAAGGATCGACTTTGCTTTCCTTGCTCATGTTTCCATGAAAGAACAAGTGGATTTCTCCTTTTGTCAACAAATATCTTTGGAGGTTATGAACTTTTACCAACACATATAGCTTGGTAGTACATGTGCATTTCTAGTTGACATGCCCCTAGTTTTATGTGAATATAGGCTCTGTAACACACTTCAATATTACCTGAATGTGTTTTAAAAACAGGGCTTCCCTGAGGTGAAAAGTTATTATTATTCCCTAACTAGTGACATTATTTTGACTTGTTTCTTTGAATAATATGCAGAAAGCCTGCTTCATACAAGACACATTTTATACTAGGTTGTTTTTTAAGACCTAATTTTTCACCCAGGACATGTCTCAAAACTGCCTCTTCAGTTTACCTAAAATGTGTTATTTCATATTCTTTTTTGTTTTGCCCATATCACCTCTCCCTTTACATGCTCCAGTGTTACTTAGTGATATGCTTTGGAATCACATTCCTATCAAATGAGACCTAAATTTTAATATACTTAATTGAAAACAGCAGCTTTATAGAATTAGGTTTTATCAACATGGCTAAATTATAAACATACATTTTTAAAAAGACGAAATCAGGTAAACTGAATTGGAAATTAAAAGAGCAGTGGTGAATGGGGTTGGGGTATTAAAGTTATGGTGAAAATACTGAAGAGGCCAAAGCAATCAAATTTTGAACCGTAGGTTGTTCATAAAACAATGTGTATTAAGGTTTTAAGTGTGTAATGCAATATGTATGTCATACAGTTTGCTGAAAGTTCAGTAAATCTTTCAGCAGGAAAGATACCATACCATGAATAAGGTCCCTAAAAGCTGCTCATCATTTTGTTCATGTACAGGGTGAAATTAAAATTGCAGTTTCTATTGAAGATGAAGCAAACAAAGACCTGCCTCCTGCTGCTCTTCTTTATAGGCCAGTTCGTCAGTATGTTTATGGAGTCCTGTTTAGTTTGGCAGAAAGCAGAAAAAAGACAGAGAGGCTTGCTTTTAGAAAGAACAGACTTCCTCCTGAATGTATGTATTTGCCTTTTATTATAATGGTGAATTCAGTTGAAACTTCACTAATCTGTAGTTTGCATCAATTATGTTGTAGAACAAACTGATTTAAATTTGCAGAGATAATAAAACCATAATTTGCCAATATATTTCATTTTCCAGCTGCTCAGCATTTCTGTACCTACAGTGCGAGAATTTTAGGATGTGAAGTAGTGCCTTAAATAGCAGGTAGCACATCAGGATTTGGAAGGTTAAAAATCAGCATTTTGAATCATGCTCTGGAACAAACTGGAAGCACTACAATTTCTTTTAAAATTTATAAGATTCAGTTAAACATCACAACCAATAAACTGGGTCCTCTATCCTGGGTTGGTTGCGAATTCTGAATATTCATCAGAAGTATGGATAATTTTGTCCAGGCTATCTCTAGCCAGGGAGAGATATCACTTAGAATTATTTATATTTTCCTAAATTTTTAATCTAAAATTAGAATAATAAAAGTTGCATTTCAGTAGTGTCAAGTAAGCAGCACCTTAGTAGTCTGTAAATTCTTGCCATATCAGGAAAATCAGTTGAATTCAGTTGGAAAAAACACCTGAAGAGAACACACATCTAACTTAAATTATTGGGGGGGGGAATATTCCTTTTATCTGTTCTCTTACCTTTCTTTCTTTTCACTCAGGCTACTTTTGAACAAAAGTCAGCATATTTCAGTCTTCTCCAAATGTAGCTGAAATTGTTACTACATGAATGCTGCACACCATGAAATCAGTTTTTGTTTCTTATATGGAGTGTGTGTGTGTGTGTGTGTTTAATGAAGACTTGACAACTATATTATAGTCTTGTTGTGACTGTATCTTGAATTTATACCAAAAAAAAAAATCAGTTATATTATTTACAGAATTGCATCATACTTGGGTATCAAGAAATATACATAACTTCATTTCTGTAGCAAATTATTTGTTAAAATTCAGTGATTTAGGAATTATACAAGTCTAATCAAGGAAGTTGCTTTCCTTTTTTGAATGTCTTGCACGACTCTGCATTCCAGTCTGTAAAGTTAAACCTATTCTAGTATTACTTGTAATTTGTATCATATTCAGTAGTGCTGGAATGAAGAACTTTGATGTGTGTAAAATGTGCACAATCTGACATTGGATATAATTTACTAGACTTGTACATAGGTATTCCTAAAATAAATGTAACTGTTCTGATAAAATTTAAGTTACATAAGGGACTGTAATTCCATCCCCATGTTAGACAGGAACAAACCACTTTATTGTATAATGGGAAAGTGATAGAATTAAGCTACTCTTTGGGAAGAGATGAAGAGTTATTAATGGCAGCAAATGGGGGAGTGGGGGTGAACACAAAGGTTCATCCATCAAGGTTTGTTTTCAGCAGTTTTGGCAAAATAATATCTTTTAGCTGGGCCTTTGCCATTTTTCAACTAAAAAAAATTAGGTTTTTTAAAATTTCTAGCTGTGAGAGCAGGGGTCAGTCAGGTTAGGGAATCAGATAAAGGGGTGCCAAGAGAATCACCACCAAGAGGCACACTGAATAGGTTGCTAAAACATTTTGTCCAGGACTTTAAAGAGATTAAATCATTAAAGATTGGAGCTAGGTTTATCTGAAGAGGGAGAAACAAGATGCCAGAACAGATGATCATCATTATTTGTTACTGCTTGTTGGAGCTTTGTCCATTTCACTAATGAGTAGATTTGCTTTTCTTCTCTCAGAAGCTTTTTATAATCCTTTTTTAGTAAAACAAAAAATTCAGAAGAGGGAAGATCATTATAGAACTGGGCATTTCTAGAAACTGAATTACCATAGCCTTGGCTTGAACACAATCTGTATCAAACCAAGGTTTGGAATGCTTATTAGAGCAATAATGGGTTGGAGTTTGATTAGACTTTAAATGGTCCTGAACTAAACCAATAATTTTTTGAAAAGTGTCAAAAATTTCATGAATGTCACTGGTTGTGCCAGTAATCACTCTTTTGAATGGAAGAAATAGGCAGAAAAGTTATGCATCTTCCTTTCATTGAACAATGCTGCTTTCCAGAAGAAAACAGTGACCTGGGTTTACAAATACTAGTTGGCTATGGAATGTGTAATTCTGGCCAGTTTGGCTTTCAACTGTTTATTTGTTAGTTATTCCTGAGTTAGTAGGGATAGTATTTCTGCCTTCTGTATTTTATTCTAGCTATTGTTTGCAATTTATACAGTGTTTAATTTAATTTGGCAGAAATGGAAAGCATACTCCAGTTACTATACAAACATTAAAACTTAAGGGAATTGCAAAAAACATAAGAGGTACAGAAATAATCATTTACCAGAAGGACCTTTTCCAAACATTTCAGAATCAGGCTTGCCTCTGGCTCTGAGGAAATTCAGTTAAAAACATATATTCTGGCTTGGATCCTAAGCTACTTTTCCGTTCATGCAAAAGAATGGGGCAGTTTCTGCAAATTTGTCCCTCCATTTGCAGATCTTTGCACCATTCTCTATATTGCCCCTTATGATTACCTAACAGGAGCAGATGGAGGACACAAGAAGACTCCAGTGTGAGGTGGCAATGGAATAGTCCTCTTCTGTAGATGGAATCTTTATTCCACTTACAGAAAAGAAGCTAGGGTGTAGCATTGCATTGAGTATCATGAGCAGTCAGTACTGGAAGGAGCCAAGTGTTGTTTGAAGCTACACTCTGCTGATCTAGTGCAAAATCAGTATTCCTACTCACTGTCAACTTGCACTTTCAAGGTAATAGCCATCTCCCTATTAACTTACAAGACATTACAAGTTTTGGACAAGCTCACCTAAATGCCTTGTCTGGGCTTTGAATCTAAGTAGCATTGCACCTAGTTAGTACTTGGATGGAAGATTACCAAGGACTACCAGGGTAGATTTGAAAATCAAAAAACATTCTATACGAAGACAGTGGTGAACCACATTCCTACTTTTGCCAAAAAGCTGTTGGGTTGTATTCATGTTGTCATCAGGAGCTGAGCTCAACTCAAGGATTTCACCTTTTGCTTTACTGTACGTACAGTTTCACAGAATTGTTGGATTGGTAAAGATTAAACCATCCACTAGAATCAAAATGTTTGAATCTGATTTCAGTTAGAGCTAATACATAGCATTATCAGGAGTAAAGGGCTCCAACTGAATAGTGATGACTAACTTCATCTATTCTTCAGGGAAGATTATTTCTTGGATTCATTTCAGATCATGAGTCAGAAACTGATTTAATCAATTTATGGGATGACCTTTGCCAAAAAGAAAGAGAAAGAAAAGAAGTAGGTGAATACAACAGTATTGTTTCTTTTGGACTTCTGAGTGGCTTTTAGTACCATTAATCACTGGGTCCTTTGGATCAGATATTTGTATTCCTACTTGGATTCACTTTTCAGAAGGTGATGCTGGGTGATTATTGTTTTATTCCATGGCAACTATTGCTCTGTTCCATGGCAGTCACAAGGTTCTTCAGGGTTTAGTTTTATCCCCACTGTTCAAGTCCTGCAAAAGAGGAGGTAGTCTCATCAGCCTGAAATGCCACCCATTACTTTTCATATAATTAAGGTGAGATAGTGAATTTCTTAAACTGGTCCCCCGAACAAAATAATGGGCTTGATGAAGGCTAATAAATTAAAGCTCAGTCTAGGCAAAATGAAGGTGTTGGAGGTGGATAGATTGTCTTTTCTCATCCATGTTCTTCATTCCACTATGGAGGAATTTTTGTCAACGGAGATACAAATAGTCTCAGTTGTTAGGACTGCCTTTTATTGGCTCAGTTTGATATGCTGGCTGCAGCCCTATTGGACAGGGTAACTTGAGATCATTTATACATGAGCTAGTAACTTGTGGTTAGATTAATGCAACATTTGAACATATAAGCTACCTGTACATATGGTTTTGGAATTTATTTACCCCAAAATACAACTGCCAGGTTATTGAGATTGGTCTCTGCAATTGTAGTGTCCATACTGGCTTCCAGGCCTAATTCAAAATGTTAATGCTAACCTTTAAAGCCATGAACAATTAAAGTGCCAACTATATTATCAAAAGTCTCCTCTATATCTCTTTGACCTTTGATCTCAAAGGACCTTCTTACAGTAGTGTCATACTTAGGAAAACACACTCCCCAAGGAGGATTGCTTAAAGCCCACATGGTGTGTTTAGGCAATTGTTTATAAAGACCTTCCTAGGCATTTTAGATTTTAACAATTGTTAAAATGCAATTGGTGCATTTTATGTCTTTATAGCTAGCTCTCTAGCTATTTTTCTTGGTAGATTAAAATTCAGAAAATTCATCAAAGAAAAGTTTTATATGAATAAAAGCTAAGCAGCATTAAGGAGGATGCATTTTGCAAGTGAAAAGTGGAGTTCAGGTTCAGTGTAAGAAAGCAAATCTTTTGGGGTTGATTTCTAGTATAAATCTAAATGTTATAAATATAAATAAAATATACTGATTAAAAACATATTGGCAAAACAGTATTTGTGCACAAACTATTTTCTTTCCTTTTTTTTAATTCTGTAGTCTCACCAGTGATAATTAAGGAATGGGCTGCTTACAAGGGAAAGTCTCCCCAGACTCCTGAGTTAGTAGAAGCTCTTGCATTTAGGGAATGGACTTGCCCCAATTTGAAGAAACTTTGGTTGGGGAAAGCAGTAGAGGACAAGAATCGACGAATGAGGGCATTCTTGGCCTGTATGAGGTCAGACACACCAGCAATGCTAAACCCAACTAATGTGCCCACTCACCTAATGGTGCTTTGTTGTGTATTAAGGTGAGTATGTTGATTCAAGTTAGCATAGGGTAAAAATTCCTCTTGATAATGCTGTATATGTGTAATTATGTAAGAATATTATTGTTTTATTGATAGAACTTTTCATGTGACTTACAGTACAAATAATTCAGAGAACTGACATTTTTCTCTAGACTAAACACAAAGCAAATTTCAACTCAAAATTTTGCCATTCAGTTTACTTTAGAGAACAATAGAATTACATGAAAAGACCTGGGGTCGGGGAGGCAGCAAAGTATCATTTCTGTTTTTAGGGTCTATGGAATAAACAGATTGGTTAAAAGAGAATGATTTTATGGATGTAATAATAGGTTGCAAATAACTTCTGGTGAATAAAATAGTGAACAGTTTACAGAAGGCAACCTTAAGACTTCCAGGGCAATCAGTCCTTGATTTCAGCCACGTTGGTGTGATGCTAACACTGAGAATCTTATATGCTGTTATGAGCTTAGTTTAGTTCCAGACACTGTTCCAAGCTTCTTTTGCTTTAGTTTTAGTTAAATTGGCTAATTTAAGATTCACTGGCTTTTTAAAAAAAAAATTATTGCAAGAAAAGTAGGTAGAATCCAGAGAATGTAAAAAAACAAAAAACATTCTAAATCTTTATTAAGTAGATGCTAATAAAAGTGCTTTCTATAAAAAAAATGTACTTAATTAAGCTTGGTGTTGTAAAATCATGAGCTGACTTCAGAACATGTCTCACACAAATTAAAGGCCTTGTCTCCATATCATAGAAAGAAAGGGAAAGCTGTCCGTTGATTTTTTTTTTCTCCTGTACCACTTCCCTGTTGTAGATTATGCCATGGTCTCTGGAGCAGTTTTTTTCATTTCTCTGCCTCTTCCTTTCATAGGCTTAATTTTGCCCAAGTTTGGATCCACTTCAGATGTAATTACAGTGCTTTAATTAATGGTATACCTGTTTAAACATTGCTGTACACAAACATCAGAGTAATACAGCTTTTCAGAAATGGTTTATCCAAGGTTTTTGCCTTTGTAGATATATGGTGCAGTGGCCTGGAGTTCGGATACTTCGTCGCCAAGAACTTGATGCCTTCTTGGCTCAAGCTTTATCTCCAAAACTCTATGAACCTGACCAACTACAGGAACTAAAGGTGATTTCTGAAGTTGGCTTTTGTGGAGCATTTAATCCATATTAATTCAGGCGCTTTGTAGAGCAGTATCATTTTCTTTTGTCAATATTCTCTATTTTCATCTACTCGTTCAACAAAATAGTATGTGGACAGGAAGAATTTCTGCCTTCAACACCAGCTCAGAGTTAACCTGCAGATCATGAAATCTGCTTCAATTTTCAATGAAATGTGCTGGTTTTTTGCTTTTCTTTACCTGATACTGTATTCATTTTTACGTTTTATATCAGTGGCTTTCAGACTTCTAACCTTTAAATCATCACTTTTTCATTTCATTTTGTCTTTTGCTAAAGAATGCCTGCATGTCTCCACAAGATTCCTATTTGTAGCTGAGTATTATGAGGCATATCTTAATGTCTGAAAATGCATCCTAGGATAAGCCCAAAGACTGCCATCTATGTACTCCAAGGGTAAATCAGTAATATCAGAAAAATTGTTACCTAGGCATATTGATCATGGTTACTAGTCTACTATATGGTAACAGGATAGAATTAAATCCTATTACCAGTTTTCATTTTCATTTGAATTTCTCCATTTAAAGTAATTATATTAATATTATTAAAATGAAAATTTACTACCACATTTTAAAATTCAGTCATGGCCTTGTTCAAATATATTAAGCATCCATTTTCAGTAAAGTATTTATAGATAGATGCATGGTAGATACTGAAAGCTCCTGTTGCACTCAAGCACTATTAATTAAATACTAGGTCACCTACGTATTAATGACATCTACAAGACATTTCTTTTCAAACTCACAGAAAAACAGTATTTTGCCCAATAATTTTTGCTTCAGAAGTATTTAAGTGGTTTACTTTAAAGTCCTTGCAAACTTTGTAGAAAAAGTTAAATAACAAGTTAATCTCCCTACTTTGTCTACAACCAGACACAGTTCCTTAATGGAAATGACATTCATGATCAAAAAGTTTAAATAAATATTTGATAGGCTAAAGGATCTGCATAGGGGGGTGTGTATACCTTTTATTAGACAATATTTGAATCTCAACTGAAAGCTTTAAATTAGGGGAATCAGGGATTAGGTATCTGGCTAGAAGACTAAATACATGGTTTATCTAGTTATGTGCTTTAAGTAAAGTGCCGCTTCTCTGTCTTCTCACCAACAAGAGCTGGTGTTGGCAGATGCTTGTAAGCTGTGGCTTCATTTACAGTGGACATGGGGAAATGCATGGAGTGGGCAAAATCCACTTTTGAAGTGCAAGCGTAAAAAAATCTGCATTTCCTCCACTCAGATAGGACAGCAGACAGGAGAGAGTTCCACCCTGGACTTCATCCAGTCTTTGGTGGATTTACCCACTTGGATTTCAATCAAGGGTTTTCAATCAGTCTTTTAAAAGGTTATTTGAATTAGCCTCTCTTACCAAGGAACCCCAATACACTTATGCCCATGTTATGGAAACCACTGACATCATTTTCCATACCAAAGATGTTCTAAAAAGTCTCATAATAAGACATAATTAATGCATAATCTCAAAAGATTCTCAAGCCAGTTTAGATATAGAAAATAATAACATTCAAATCATTCAGCAGAAAGGGTTTGTGATTTTTTTTGTTAAACTGAGCTTTTTGATGAAGATTTTGTCCCATCTATATGGGTAATTTTTGTTTTTGCTTGTCTTGCCTCTTTCTGTAGAACTTCCCTTTCCTCCCCTTCCCCACTTTTCTGTCTTTTTCTCAGCAACCGCTCACTGCTTTCCTGCTAACAACTTGTACTTCCTTAGGGAGGCCTACCTCACACCATGGCTCTATCGTCTGATATAGGCTAGCGTTGAAGACAGGATGCTGGGCTAAATTGATCATTGGCCAGACCCAGTAAGGCAGTATTTGTATTCTGAATGTAAATTACCCCAGTTAAATCAGTATGAGCTTAGAATTACAGGTGAGTGACTTGGAAAAGAACCATACCTGGATGACAGTAAATCTCAAATTTTGTCCAACAATAAAAGGCTGAATTCATCTTGTTGACTTGTACTTTCATTTTCAAAATTCAAGCATGTAGAATAATTATGTATACACAGTCTATTTTATTAGCAAGTCAGGTTTGTCAGAACTAGCATACTATTTTCAGTCAACAGTAATGCATGCTATGTAATACTTAATGGCATGCTGTGCACATCATATAGCACTTCATTTTCATAATGCTACTGTATTTATTGCAGTTATGACACTCTCACCATAAGTTTGTTTGTATAGACATTCCTATACAAACAGACACTTTGGAAGTACCTTGAGAATTTGATCTAACTGCTCTTGTTCTGTAAACCCATCCCTGATATATATAAATCTACATTTAAGAATTTGAATGTTCTGGCCTAATCATTTCTTCCCTTGGATCCTTCAAGTGTATTAGACTTCAGCTTTGGTATTTCCTAGACAACATGGTCATTGGCTGTGCTGGTTAGGATTTGTGGAAGCTGAAGTCTAAAACCCTTGGATAGCATCTAATTATTGTCCAGTTTCAAAACAAAGGCTGATATTGATGGATTGTTGTACCAATGTAAAGTTACTTAACATTTGACACATGGAATCCAAATGTACACTTATGACGATAAAAGGATGTTTGGTCTATTGGAAACTTTTGCTAATGGAAGGTGAAAGGATCTGATTGTTACCAGTCTCCTACTTCCCAAAGCTACCTCCCATTCTGTACAAATCTTTCAGTGTGTATTTCCAGAGCTACAGCAAGGCAAAGAACAGACAAAATATTTCCTCCTCTCTTTCCAAGAGCAAAACTTGATAGTACACTTGTTAATTCAGTCCTGTATAAATATGTCAGAGATAGTCATGTTACTAATAGCTACCAAGGTGTATATGGATATTTCCCTATCTTTAATTTTTAAAGGATTCCTTTAATTTAAAAAAAGGAAAGCTGGCATGCTACAAAAGAAAGCTCCAGCTTTTAGCATCATCTTTATTTAGCATCATGTCTCTGTGCTCCACGCAGGCTCCACAGACATTCTTAGAAAACAAAAATGGCAGGTAAATGTAGCTCTGTGCTAAATTTAGATGTGTATCTTCCTGCTACCCAAAGCTAAAGAGAGTTGGCAGACAGTACTGTTTGGCAAAGGTTTTTGTGTCTTATAGTGGCAGCCATTTTATAATTAGGCAAATCTCCACCTGTGGCACCCATTTTGTAAATAAGAAAGCCTCTACTCATGGAAGCCATGTTTTGAGAATACACGCAGCAAAGTTTCAAGAATCAAACATCCTGACCAGCCTGAAAAGCTTGCTTACCCCTGCAGTAGACTATTAGAATTCTTTCACACGTAAATTAGTTCTAAGCTATTTTTTCTCTGTGTAGAAAATCCAGTCATATCTTGGGCTTTGCTTCTTGAGGAGTCTGAACACTGGATCATCCATCAGTTGTAATAGGTAGCAGCTCCTCTGGTCCTTAACTGAGAAAAGGAGAGAAATAATTGGAGCTTTATAAATGGGTCTGGCTACAAAGCCACCCCAGTTTTCTTTTATAATACCAGTCTTGTAAAAAAATGGAAAGGCATGTGTTATGTTTATCAATGTTGCTAAATATTATATTGTAACAAAAAAGAATATGCCTAAACCTTCACTGCAAATATTTGCTATTCTGTTAGTTGGATAGTGATTTCCATCACTGATTTCCATAATATGTCTCTGCAAGTTTTTCCCACAATAAAATCAATTTATTTTAAATATTTTCTTGCCTACTGAGGCATTCTTGCATTTTGCCTTGCCTTTGGGACATGTTCTTCTCTAGCATTATCATGGTAGCAGTGGTGTAGCTAAACTAATCACACCACTGTTCAGGATTGTCAGTAATTGGGACAAATTATATTCTTTTTGAAAGAGGCAAGAGACATGCTATATTCCAATAACTAAAGCAGGCGTGGGCAACTTTTCAGCAGCTACAGACTGCAGTTATCATTTGGGGAGAATCAAGTGCTACAGTGAGCAACATTTCATAAGTGAACGGAACTCAATTTGTGGGGATTTTCCTTTTGAACTGTGATTTGCCTATTTTAGGCAATTTAGGCTTGCCATTCAGTTTTCATGTTTCCAGACGTTAGTTTTCAGCTACCATGTTGAAAGTGGGCTTGGGTGGGTACAAAAGGGAGCTTGGAGACCTTATGCAGCCCTGGTACTGCAGGCTGTCTATCCTTAAGTAAGTTAGGACTTCTGTGATGTGGGGGGAGCAAGCATCTCTTCTTAAAGTCAGTCTTGTGCAAGGTTGGCAGGAGAGGGAGAGAGAAACTAGCATAGGCATCCAAATAGTTTAACACGCATTGCTATTTAGATATCTGTGCAAGTGTCTCTTTCTTTCATAATGGGCTAGTGGTAGAAGAAAGCTAAAGGCTCCCTTAAGTCAGGCTCAGCTCCTGGTAACTCCACAGGCACATCCATGTACTTCTTTTGGCAACAATATGGAAATGCCATAATTTCTTCCATAATAGTTTTTCCCAGTATAGCTTACAGCTCTGGTGTAGTTTTCCTGGTGGTTCTCCATCCAGGTACTAGCCAGGTCTGATTCTGCTTAGCTTTGGGTGAGGTGTGGAAATCAGCCAGTGTTGGCTAAGTGCTATGAATATTAAAATACAATTTCCAAATTCACGTGCATTCACAGATTTTTGTGGCATTTGCCCACTAATATAATACAAAGAATAGCTAAGCAAACTGTATGTTTCATGGGCTGTTTCAGCAGACTGTTAAGCAAGAATGACTGCTTAACAGCAGTGACTGCAAAAATTCATGGCTATATCTTTTTAAAAGCATTATTTAAATTTATTTTAACACTTTGTCTATAACTTAATTCTTGAATCTTGGATCCTTGTATAGTCTTTAATCAATAAAGTTCTACACTTTTGTTTTTAAGATTGAAAACCTAGATCCTCGAGGAATTCAGCTCTCAGCATTGTTTATGAGTGGTGTTGACATGGCATTGTTTGCCAATGATGCTTGTGGGCAGCCAATTCCATGGGAGCATTGTTGTCCATGGATGTACTTTGATGGGAAGTTGTTCCAGACCAAGCTCATCAAAGCAAGCCGGGAGAAAGCTCCCCTCATTGACCTCTGTGATGGTCAGGTAATGTTGGTCCTGAGATGTGCGCTATGCCTTATTGAGTGTGTGTGTGTGTGTGTGTGTGGACAAATTAGGCAGGTAGGTAGATGTACAATATTATTGTTTTTTGTAATGAGCTTGAATTCATTTGTAGGCAGGGGGTTTTAGCCTAAGGGCAAATGTGTATTTAAACATATGCTACAATGTATTATTTATCTGACAGGTTGTATCCTGCTAAAGGCTTGCTTGAATATAGATTGTGTGTGTGTATGCAAGTAAAGAAGTTAATCCTTGATTTTTTAAATTCTTAAAATGATGATAATTATTTTGTACTGCAGTGTATTGGATTGATTTGGAAGAATATTTTTTTTTATTTATTACTTCCATTTATATGGCAGCCCATCTCAAATTCATGACTCTGGGTGGCTAACAACGGTTAGTTTGTATCATTTTAGTATAGAGGATGGACATAATGTAGGTGATCTGTAAAACATGTAAGTTTGTTAATACTCTCTTCCTTACTTGTTACCATGTAAGTGGTCCAGATGCTGCTCTCCCTTTTTTGTCAGCTAGGATGCAGTGTTTCTTTTAAAAAAAGAGTTTCCAAGTAGGTAGAGATGGTATTATTCGCTTCCAGGAGAGCCTGTCTGTCTTTGACAGTCCTGTATAACTAAAAATCAAATAATCAGAATCCTGTGTGTACTATTTTGAAAGATTTTTAAAGCTTGCAAATCAACCTGGGTATTATGACAAACTGTCTTCATTTTCCAAAACATAAACAACAAACAGAAAATACACTGTTTTCAAGATTTTTTTTAAGAAAATGAAACACTACATGGAAAATAATTTCTTGTTACAGGGAGATAATTCGGTGATGTCTTGATTTTCTGTCCCCTAGTGTTTCATGTTTGCAAATACTGTCAGCTAGCTACCTGCTTTCAATAATGTCATTTAGAAATGTATAAATACACTTGTATTTGTATTCATAGTATAAATATGTTGTGCCATATTGTTTGTTGTAGGCTGAACAAGCTGCCAAGGTAGAAAAGATGCGCCAGAGCATCCTTGAAGGTTTAAATTTCTCCAGGCAAAACCATCCACTCCCTTTCCCACCACCACCTGCCATGCCTTTCTATCCAGCTTCTGTTTATCCTCGACACTTTGGGCCAGTTCCACCTCAGGGCAGAGGCAGAGGCTTCGCTGGTAAGACTACTTTGCTGTTAGACTGTTAATCCAAGATAAATTAATGGGAGCTTGTATTAGGGCCTGTACATAGGGAGTATATAGTGGCTAAGATGTTGGACTATGATAGAAAGACTCAGGTTCACATCTCAGACCAATCTACCTCACAAGAGTTGTTGAGGGGAAAATGTAGAAATCCTAAGTTTATCACCTACAGCGCTGGGAGGAAAGGTGGGATATCAGTCGAGCAGATCAATAAATACAGAGGTTTCTACTAGCTTACCATCTGTATCAATTATATAGCTGCCAGTTGGGTATTGACTAATATAAACATGTCTAGTGTTAGCCTAATAGTAAATAAAATTGGCTGTATCATATTGGTTCAGTCCAGTGACAGGAAAAATAGCTGCCAGCATTATCCCACAAATGGTTTCACTAGAGTTCATTAAGAATTAGAAGACAAATGCTATAGCAATTTTCAAATTATAATGTGTGCAAAAAGCTTCACAAGCAGAAATTCCTATTCAAATTTAGTTCTTGCGAGCAAAGACCATTTCTGCATGGATCCAACACTATATCTACAACTAGAATTTCATTATTGGAAGATACATTAAGGAAAAATGCTATATTTTGGAAGAAAAAGCATACATTTAACTTTAACCATAAAGCCCTTAGGAAAATTGAATTGACAAAACCTTTAAATAGGTAAGTTGATTCAAATTTACCTTGAAAGCTGTTTACAGAAAGAGAGAGAGATTCCAGTCTAGAGAATACCAAATTTAAATATGTAATTTAATTATGTTTTAGGTTTTTAAAATATAAATCATCCATCTCATCATTTAAGAGTAGGTATTAGTTTATTTAAAAAACCCTTATGTATAACATCTGCATGCATCTATGAATTGACAACCCAAAAGAGATTGATTGATTGATTGATTAATTGAATAGATTTAGGTGCCACCTGACTCCAAAATGAGGCTGGGCAGCTCACAATTTTAAAAAGTAGCAGTATTAAAAAATGCACAATACAATATAAATAAACAAGACAGCATATGTCCAAACAGTACTATATCTCTATCCCTATCCCTATATCTATCCCTATATCTGTATCTATATCTATCTGTACATACATACATATATACATATACACACATACATACACATATATACATACATACACACACATATACGCGTACAAACATGTTTAACAGAGGAATGACATTTGCCCTACCCCAAGAATGTTGTTGTCCCAAAAAGAAAAACCGTATATATGACTATAATTTGTTTCAGTTCAAAGCTTGTTAAATAACAGCAGTTTGTACTGGCGATTTGTCTGCCATAATTTTGAAACTGAAGTTATTTATGGGGCAGGGTTGGGACATTGTTTTTAGCATTTTGCTCTTTGAAACACCCCAAAATAGAGAAAGTCAGACTGATTTTGTGGGAGGGATCAAGGTTTTTAAGCGGAACGTACAGAGCATAGGGGGTGTCATGAACATCTTTCAAGCCTCTCTCTTCACAAACCTTATCCAAATGGGAAAGAATGGTTGAAAAGCTGACCCTGCCCAATCTCAGTATGCTCTGGGGCAGCTGAACCCATCTTAAAGCAATATATCCCATTTAAAAGCAATATATCCCAAAGGACATTAAGAAAGAGACCTTTGTCTTCTTGTGGACCTGCAAACTATTGGATCTTTTTAACCTGCAAACTATTGGATCTTTGTAAAAGAAGTTGAACTTAGTAGTTTCTCCTGAATCTTTATTAGTCTGGGAACTAATCCTTACAGAAGTCCTTATACATGTGTCCTCTTTAAAT